TGGCAATCATTCATGATGGTGCTGTCTCAGTTTGGTGGAGGAAGTAGGTAAAAATATCAATTAAAATCTCAATACCTAATACAACTGGGACAACACACATGATTTTGGGCAAAAGAGCATAATGATGGATGCTGGTAATTTTCAATGGTTGAAAGTGATATTAGTGATATTCATGACATCATATGCTTACATATCATAGCATGGAGATGGGATGTCAAAATAATTAAAATGCTTTAGGTACTCTAAGCATGTTCCTTAATTCATTCAATTCTCTTAACCACCCTGAAAGGTAGTCATATCCATCCTACTTGACAGATGAGGCTTAGAGAGGTTAGCTCAGGCCCAAGGTTTTAGAGAAAGCCCCAGACAGACTTTCTAAAGTCTGTGCTTTTCCCAGGATATATGAAATATCTTCAAAGCATTTTAGAAGTAAAAGTACTAGAATCCTGAGCCCTATAATGGGGCTGCGACTAGTTTATGACAACGACCCAGTGTTTGTGCACATGAATACCTAAGAGAAAGAAGATGGGACTAGTTTTGTACATAAAGCACTAGTTCTGCACCCAGAGAAAGTGCTCAGGAAACCAACTAGACTGAGGCAGCTTTGGACGTGGAGGCCAGTGTTCTAATTGCAGATCATGATGCTTTCTAAGCAGGAAGATAGGGCAGTGACTACGAGGCTTATGTCCTGGCATCTGTGCTATTCTCACTAGGCTAAAAGTAGACCACATGGTTTTATTACTTATAGTTTATTTTTTTTTGATCATAAAAGTAGGAGCTTCTTCTGTTAAAGATTGGTTCATCTCAATAAGACCTGTGGACTCTAATTTTAGAAGGTTGAGAGAATCCCAAGTTCTTGTTTAGAATTTAACTGAGTAAGAAATGTGCAAGTAATGAGATTAAAGGTTAAAGGTTAATGTGCACTCATATGTTCAAATGAGGGTTTAAAAATAAATAACAGGACACTTTGGCAGAGTAACTAAATCCACAGGGGCTTTTAATCATAACCTCACTCAGCCAGTGATGGAAATAATCTTTATTCTTGAATTCTGAGAGAAGCATCTTGCTGTCTTGTGTTATCTAATATTTCTAAAATGCTTTGAAGATATTTTGTATAGTACCTATCACAACAGGAGTGGAGAAAGATCCAAGTGCTCAACAGTAGGCAATGATTAAAGAGGGCACATATACAACTCTAAAGATTATATAGAACGAAAAATTGTTATGAGCAGAATTCAAAATAACATGCATACCAGGATGACAACAATGTATAATTATGAATGAAAGGGGAAAATAATATGCAAAGATGAAAAGAGTTGTATTGTGTGTTTAAAATGTAATATTTTTTAAAAAATATATCTTTATTGATTTCAGAGCAGAAGGGAGAGGGAGAAAGAAATAGAAACATCAATGATGAGAAAGAATCATTAATTGGCTGCCTCCTTCATGCCCCCTACTGAGGATCAAGCCCTCAACCTGGCATGTGCCCTTGACCAGAATCAAACCTGGGACCCTTCAGTCCGCAGGCTGACACTCTATCGACTGAGCCAAACCAGCTAGGGCAATCCAGCAACATTTACTAGTAAAAAGTAGTTCAAAGAGTATCCTATGAAGAAGAATCATAATTCAAAAATATTGGCAATATCATATATATACACACATACAAATATATCCTACACATATACATCATACATTATATATAATTCCATACACACACACATTTATATCATATCCATATATATAAAAGCCTAAGCTACCATTATGACCGAACGACTGGACGACCAGCTGGTAGCTATGATGCTCACTGACCCAGACCTTGCTGTTGGGGCCCTGACAGCCCTGAATTTGGTTCACCTGCACCCCAGACCCAGACAGGAGGGAGGAGGGAGCCAAATTCCTCGTGGAATCGGCTGTTGGTTAGCTTGTTGCTGGGGCCAACCTCCCGTGATCCCTTCCCCCCCTACCAGTCAGTCCCCTGATTGCTGGCCGGCCAACCTCCCATGGCCCCTTCCCCTGGCAGGCCGGCCCCCCAATCGGCCCCAATCACCAGCCAGGCTGAGGGACCCCACCCGTGCACGAATTCGTACACTGGGCCTCTAATATTATATATGTAACATCACACACATACACACATATATGTATGTATATAAGAGATATTAGAAAGGAATGGGAAAATAATTAGCTAATAGAGAATTTTGTTTTATATTTTCTGTTTAGGTAATAAAAAGTGTTTGTGTGCTATATAGATGTGGAAGATCTTTAATGTGACTTCTAAACTACTTTTCTTGTCTTTTAATGTTCTTACATGTGAAGCAAGGTAATGAAATATATGCCTTATTAATAAAATTTGGAAAATAAAAGTTTAAAAGTAAAAATCTTCTACCATTATTCCATCCCCTCAGGGGATGTCAGAGGCCCGGTGCATGGATTTGGCCTGATCCCCACAGGCCAGGCAAAGGGACCCCACTGGTGCACAAATCTGTGCACTGGGCCTCTAGTATGCATATAAGATCTTTGGTTAATCTCTTCCTGCCCTCCCCCCTTCCCTCTGAGACTCATCAGTCTGTTCCATGTTTCCATGCCTGTGCATGAGCGTCTGCCCCCTGGTGGTCAGTGTGTGTCATAGTTAATGGTCGAACGGTCGCTTAGGCTTTTATATATATATTAGAGGCCCGATGCATGAAGATTCGTGCAAGAATGGGCCTTCCTTCCCCTGGCTGCCAGCACTACCTTTGTTCTGGCCAGAGCTGCCTTTCCACCTTCACTCCGGCCCAGAGCTGCCTTTCCGCCTTCCCATGCTGCCCAGAGGCCCGGAGCGGCTGGGGCAGTGCGGAACGCCTGCATCCTTGCCATGGCATCCCGCCCCACCCCCGGCCACTTGGCGCCTGCATATGCAAATTAACCCACCATCTTTGTTGGGTTAATTTGCATACTCACTCCTGATTAGCTGGTGGGCGTCGTGAAGGTATGGTCAATTTGCATCTTTCTCTTTTATTAGTGTGTGTGTGTGTATCTATATCTATATCTATCTATCTATCTATCTATCTATCTACATTAGAGGCCCGGTGCACGACATTCATGCACTGGGGGCTGTGGGGGTCCCTCAGCCTGACCTGCACCCTCTCCAATCTGGGAGCCAGGTGGGAGAAAGATAGCTCAATGCTTATATTTCAGCATTGGGCACTTGAGAGCTAATATTAAGAAAATTGTGGGGGAAAGGAGAGAGGTTTCCCTACTAATATCAACTATGCATTTGATCATTATTTCATCTCTCTCTCTCTCTTTCTCTCTCTCTCTCTCTCTCTCTCTCTCTCTCTCTCTCTCTCTCACACACACACACACACACACACACACACACACACACTGTACCTTTTATTTTCTTCTGCTTACTTCATTTCAGCCAGTTCACTCAGGAAAATAACTATTGTCATCCTCAATTCATACACAAGTAAAAAAATTACCCATCTACCATATGAGTAATGCTATGATATACCTACCTGTATAACCAGAGTCAAAAGGTGTGATGTAATGTTACCTAATAAATAACCAATATAATAACCCATAATTTCCACAATAGATTCTATATATTTTCCTAATTAAGTCATATTTTTTTCTCAAGAGTTAGTCTTCAAGTTGATTTTACCCATTTACGAACACACATGTGCATATACACACACATACACAGACAGACAACCCAACCAGCCCCAAATTAGAATCACTGATGATGAGAGATGATTTAGGCACAGCCAAAGAAAAAAGAGGCATGGTTTTGGTAGAAAAATACATCTTTTAAGGCAACTAAGGGGGATTAAACTGGTAAGAAATAGAACTATGGTCAAGTCTTACCTTCCCCTTCCTTAGGATCAAGATCATTGGTAAGCTGAAGTTTGATCAATTTGATCAGTCACTATTCCTCTGAATAACTGTGTCTCTCCTCATTGAACATGTGAGAACGGAGCTGGGGGGTGTTCTAGGAGTTCTATGCCAGGACACTCATTCCCTGTCTCTCTACTAACCCTGGTGTGCCCTCCTCACCCAATCCTATCTTACTCTGTTCCCATCAGTCAGAAATACCACTGCTGAGAGTTTTAATGTACAATATAGGGCGTGGCCTGGTACACCTTTTTTACTCCTGGGACTTCCAGCTTCTAATCTCTTTCAATCATCCGTCCAATACAAGTTTACCGACCACCAACCAACCTACTCTGTTCAGCACTGTCAGAGGGATGGGAGCACAATGTGAACAGAACAGGCTGGGCAGTGCTCTCAAAGACTTTCAGTGTAGCTGCCTCTACATCACGTACCTCCTTCATTCTCCACCATCAGGTCTTTTGTCCCCAGAGATAAAATCCTCTCCGAACTCCTAGATATAGCATATATTACTGGTGCCATCTTTTCTGCTATCTCAGTTTCTCACTGCCATCCTAATCCTATCTCGCCAGACATTTAAAAACCTTTGCCACAGCTCTCTAGGCCGGCGGTTGCCAACCTTTTAGACCCCATGGACCACCAGTGGTCCACGGACCACCGGTTGGCGACTGCTGCTCCAAAGGTTTCCTTAAACCAGCGGTCGCCAATCTTTTGGACCTCATGGACCACCGGTGGTCCCTGGATCACTGGTTGGTGACCGCTGCTCTAGGCTGTTTTATGGGGTCCCTCTTGTCCATTTTCTTTTCTTCACATTTCAGTTGCAAGCAACCTTCTTCTATGACCCTTTCTGAATCTGTCATGCCAATTCTAGGATTCAGCAATATATTTTATTAAGCTAGATGCTGAGGGACATAATGGCCACTAAGAAATTTCTCCCCTCAAAGAAATAAGTGGTCTGGTCTGAGGAGGCAGCTGCATTGGAGACTCTGCCCCTCCCGTGACTAAGGATATTTTAAAAATCTGGTTGATTTACGGTGAATCCGCCAAATTCTCTTCTGATAGTCTAGAAATAACCTGAACACAAAAACAGTGTCTGTTTTTTTAACCTGGGACCAATCCCCACTGAGGTAATGTACTCACCTAACTAAGACTGGAGTCTTGGGCATCTTCTTAGACACTTTACAGAAACTTGTGTCTCCTTTGTTGTCAGTGAAGTATATGCCTGCCACGCTGGTCACGAGGTTCCCAGGGAAAGTGAACAGAACCCTTTCATCGTCACCTTGGTTGGCCCAATCCCAGGCTTGGCCTCCAATGAGCAAACCTCCTCCATGTTTCATAAACTTGACCAACTTTTCAGTCATGGTTTCATTGTAGGCGTCAATACAGTAAACCCCCAGGGAGTCTTTCACTTCCGGCTCAAGCTTTGCCTCCACCCCAGAGCCCTCGAGGATTTTGGCCAGAGGTGCCAGGGATGGGTGTACACCTACGGGAGCCCCAGGGGAAGAACAAAGCCACCCCACTGCATTGAGGAGAAAGGGAGTGAGCTGGGCTTCTACCAAGTAGTCTTCATGGGATACCACCACCAGGCGGCCTCGGCCATAGGAGGATGCAGCAATGAGGACCTGGCCCATGTCATTCAGCATCACTGGGAAGGAAGCCTCTCCAATAAGAAGCAGTTCACATGGGACGGCATCTTCAGGGACATCCCAGCTTGTCACTCCATTCATAAGGGCTTCAAAGGCAGCTGAGGGGGTCGCCATGGTTATGGGCTTCTGCAGAGAGAAAGCAAAGATTCAGCTTGGTGAAGAACAGATAAACAAACAAACAAATCAGGTCATTCCTCTGCTAGCTGGGGCAATTCTTCCGTCACCCAGATGAGACTGACATCGTGAAATGACTCAGGCACTCACCAGGGGTGGCAGTGTCTCCAATCTAGGAGACCCCATAGCACTTTGTCCTCTTAAACTCTTGGGGTCAAACTAAAAGGGCTCAATGCTTTTCCATCACCAAAGGAAACAAACAGAAGTGAAGATTGTGTCCTGAAAGAGATACAGTATGTTTAGGTATTAAGCCCAGAACCTGTGAATGTGACCTTATTTGGAAATAGGGTCTTTGCAGACATGAGCAAGTTAAGATGAGGTCATACTGGATTTGAGGGGGCTCTAATCTAATGACTGGTGTCCCCATAAGAAGAGGAAAATTGGACAGAGACACAAATAGACAGGGGAGAATGCTATGAGAAGAGAACACAGGGACTGGAATGAAACATTTACTGCCAAGGGATGTCAAAGATTGCTGGCAAACACCAGGAACTAGAAAGAGCTATGGGACGGATTCTTCTTCAGAACTTCCAGAAAGAACAACTTTGCCAACACCTGGACTGAAAACTCATAAGCCTCCAGAACTATGAGAGAATATCGTTCTGTTGTTTAAGCCACCTAGTTTTTGGTAATTTGTTCCAGCAGCCCCCAGAAACTAATACAGTGATGCAGCATGTTTCCCGCCCCTCTCCCACCACTTGGCTCCCACACTGATCTTATTAATCCCAGCTGGGGGAACCCAGAATTTCAGTCTGAAAAGTCTAGGTCCTCAGAGACAGTGCTTTGGCCATAGTCTCAACCTGGCTAAGAGGAAAGCAAAAGTCCTCTGTGGCTGGAGTCCAGGTCCCATATAAGCAGAAGGCAACAAGTTATGAAATTATGGCAGATGCTTACTTGCACTGTCCAGGTGGAGGAAGGTATGTATGTCTGTGGATATGTACTCACAAAAATCCTCGGCTTCTACACATGAACTCCCCACTAAGGATACTCTACAGTCTTACTTCACTGTATGCACTTTATTGAAACAGTTCCCCAAGTACAGATGTGTTTCCACACTGTGAACATCCAGGGCTTGTCATCCTCACTGATCACTCTACTCAGTGGCCCTGGGCAGTACTGTTCTCTTGGTCCCTGAGGCTCTCACCACCTCTAACTTTATGACCCAAGCCCACGTTATCAGCCACCTCTAGAACCATTTACTTCCTTTCCTTCTCTTACCTCTTCTGAAAATGTAGGTATTCCTTATGATTTTATCTTTGGCACTTACCATTTTTCTATATCCTTTGTCAGAGAACAGACTCATTCTCAAGGGATTACAAGTTCAGCTCTGGAGTTAGGCTGTCTGGGTCTGAATCTCAGCTTTGCTGTTACTAACTGTGAAATCAGGCAACTCATCTCAGATTTAGTTTCCTCAATCTTTAAGTAGGGATAATAGGATCTATCACATAAGGTTGTCCTAAGGATTAAAGGAAATTGCATAGGTTAAGTGTCTTTCAATTATTTATTATATTTATGAATATTCAATTATTATTGTATATGCACATGTAGAAATATACACACATATCTATGTATACTAGCTTATAATTATTTGGTTAAATGTAAACTAAATATGTGAATAGAAAATTCTTATAAAGTAAACAAAAAAACTAACCTAATATTAGATTTTACAAACACTGAATTAAGCATTTATTGATTCTGATTTTTATAGTTTTCATAATTTTGGAGCCAATACTAATACTAATTAGTGCTCTATTGAGTTCTCAAGTATTTCTATGAACCCTTGAAAAAGCCCTTGGCACAGGTACCGTGCCCTGGTCCTAATGTAACTGGTGAAGAACAGATAAACAAACTCAAGGCCTCCATGCAAGAGCCACTCTCTGATTGGCATCAGTCTTTAAAAGTAAAGAAGTCTTACATTTATTCTTTTCCCTCCAAACTAGCTTCTCTTAGGTACTTTCCCAAGCTTGATGTCCCTAGTTGTTAAAGAGGATAACCTCTAGGCCAGAAAACTACCTAGAAGATACAATCAGCAAACATTTCGTTAATAAGAGCTTGTCTCTTCCCTGCTCCTCCTGATGTTCACAAATAACCAGGACAGCAAGCCACAGAGTCACAGTTGTATCCCTTCTGCCCCTGCTCCATATCCTGTCAATGTCCTCATTCACAATTCCCAATCTTGCTGCCACTAACCTAGTTCAGGTCCTCAGTAACTCACTCCTTCACTAAACTGATCCAGTTTCTCTGCCACCAGTTACCTGTTGTTACCTCTATTCTTATGTCTCAGAAGAGAACCCCTTAGACCTCATCTTGGCCCACAGGGGAAAATCTGAGCAGTACTGGGGTGTGAAGCTTCCAGGGCTGGCTGCTCCTTACTTTTCCAGCTGTATCTCCAGCCACAATCTCTCCACCGCTTCCAGAACACAGGGCATCCGTGGACATGCCCTGCTTTCACTTTTGTAGGGAGCGGCTCTAGGGTCAAGCCTCGGGCTGACCTGTGGCAGGGCCACAAACAAGTCACAGCCTGGAGGGCAGAGCTCCCCTAGCATAATTAAGCCTGACCTTGTTACCCTCCCTAATTCCTTCCTAAGTAGCTAATGGGCTGTGGGAGGTGCAGCAAGTGTTGCCAAAACAAGAACATTTGTATACATGTTAATCTACCCTTGTTTTAACCAGACTATAAAATAAAGCATCAATTTGCAGGCTGGGTCTTTCTGTGTCCTCATCCAGGCATGGGAGATCCACCGAGCCCCAGCTGTATTCTCTTGTCTGTCTTTTCTTCAGTCCTTCACCACCCCTCCTCAGGTTCACCGTTGGCCGTGCTGGCGCGGAACACACTTTAGATTCTCTTCCCATTCTGTCTCATCCTGCTCCCTCTCCCATGTCTTTCTACCTGTTGAAATCCTATCCTCCTAAGAGAAGATATTCATGGAAGAGGGAATTTATATGGCCAGTCAGTCTATGAAAATATACTCAATCTCACTGGTCAGGCAAAGGAAAATATAATGTATGTTGCCCATATTGTCAAAAAAGGATGTGGTGAAGACAGAGAAGAAAGTGAAGAAGACAAAGGCAGCTAATAATGTCTAATGTCCAAAAGGCTTTGGGGACGTCACATTTGCTGAAAGGGCTGAAACACTGACAACCATCTAACAGTGGCAATCAGTTTCAAAGGTGTACCTATCCTTACACCAGTGCCCCTCTTCTACTAACCTTTCTTAGATATAAGAGTAGCTCTATTAAAGTGTATATACGAGGATGCTTGTCTTTACAAAAACTGACCTAAAATTTGAGATAGATAAGTGACAAGGAATGTTTCTTGGAACTAGTTTTGACTCCTGTGGGTACAGACAGGATCTCTAACCCAAAACCACACTTTTATACACATATCCTGTCCCTATAGCCCACTGTGCTGCAACATACGACCCTGGGGCATAGCCCCCACCAGCCACCCATACACTTTCCATGAAGAGCAACTCTTAGACCTCTTCTCTCTGGGACTATGTTGCTGCTGGTGTTGCTATTCAGCAAATATCCAGAACAGGGAACTCACATTTTTGTCTCTCTGATTGTCCTCTGAGCTAGTTCCCAGAAGAAATATCTGTGAAGTGACAAGGGATAGGCAGGTGGCTTGGAGATCTGAAAAGTAGGGGACTAGGGAAAAGAGGATGGTTTTTCCTGATGGGTCTCCTCCTTCTACCGTTCTGGGCTGGACTGCTGACCCAAGGTGAGTGGGGTATGCCTGGGCTCCCTTTCTCTCTGCCAGTTTCTCCATGTGTGAGGCTGCAGGGTCAGTCCTGGTCTGACACCAATGCTGTGTACATGGCAAGACAACGTTTGAGAGGGAGAATACTTGAGTCAAGTATGATAATATGCATGCTAGAGTATCGTACAGCTATTACAAAGAATGAGTTACATCTATTTTGTACCTACCTAGAAGAATGTCCTAGGTATATTTTAAGTGAAATTTTCAAATCATCATAATATAGAAGACACAAACCCATTTTGGTATGGATGTAGATAATAATAGTAGTAGAACTAATAATTTTTGTAGGTAGTAGTAATGACAAGACAGTGCTAACCAGGTTCCCAGCATTCTTATAAGTGCTTCACATAAATTGTTTAATCCTGATGAGGTATGTGTTGTCACTTTCCCTATTTATATATGGGCAAAGCCACAAAGAAAACAAAAAACCTGCCCTACAGAGAATCTGTTACTTGCTTAAGTAACACAGGTGGTGGTGGAACCAGCCTTCAAAACACAGGAAATCTAGTTCTGAGGTCCACATTTTTAGGTACCAGCAACAGATAAGCCTGTTAAGTCCCTGTTTCTTATATAGGTAGAAAGTCTATGAAGCTACATTTCAACATACTAACATTAGGAAGGGGAGAGGCAAACAGTATTCTTTCCCTTTATACAAGTCTGCATCCTTTCAATTGTTTTCTGTATTACTGTTACAGTTAAAAATAGCACAGGTAATATAAAATCAATGAACCAAGTAAATACACTCTGATTTACTATATAAATTAGATTGACCAACTGATCCTATCTTACTTGTCCCAATGTCTTCTTCACTTCCCAACAAGTTGTCCATTTGCCCACCAATAAATTTGATTTTTCTCTGTGGGGGTTCCTTGAGCTTTGCAGCTGGTTCTATTCCCACTTTAACCAGCTATGGGTAACTCCGACACTTGACTTTTGAACCAAATGCCTGTGTCGCTGTTTACCCTCCAAGCATGGTGAGCTCAGATGGACACAGCCTGGAGAAACCCCTTTTACTTCTCCCCTGAAGTTCTTCATCGTTGCTTCTACTTCCAGGGATCCTGCATTCTCTCCTTCAGGCCTACCAACTTTCTGCAACCCAAGGCACCTCTAAAACAGACGGTACCCCAGGCACAACTTATAACTGAGGGAGAGAGCTTCACAGATCCCCTACCCCTGCCACAAAGTGATCCCATGGTACCTAAATAGGGTTTCCCTTAAGCAAGTGCATAAATATAGATAGGAAGTAGGGCAATGGCCCTGTCTTGCTTATTGTACCATATCCTACATTATAATTTCATTTCAAATCCCAGAAGTAGGGCAAGTGTCTGAGGTCAGGTTCTTTGGATTTCCTAGGATAATGAATAGATACTCTGTAGATGGGATTGAATGAATCCTGGATAGAAGGTGTGAGTGTAAGGGTCAACCTAGGATGACTTCTTTAGCAAACAGCTACCCTGGCCTTGAAAAATGATGCATGTCAGAAACATCCAATTTGATAGATCTTCTCTTCTTCATGCCGTTTTCTTCCATGAAACCTTTTTCTTTTTCCTTATATGTTTTTAAATGTCCCTGAATTTTTCTTAAGCCAGAATTAGGGTGGGTGCAACCTCTTTTGTATTCTGTCTGAGATATTCCCAGCTCAATCTTAATGATTTCCACTTAAAAATGGTTTAATTCATGTATTTAAAAGAATATGTAATGCATGTGGAAGGATATGGATGGTAAAATAATAATAAAATAATTTTAAAATTTAACAGACTCTCATATACCACTACTCAGCTTAAAAAAACAGACCATTCCTATTATCTCTGAAGGTCTGCCTGTAGCTTGCTGGAATCATTCCCTCCCCCATTCTCATAGAAGCCATTCAAAACTTTGCTTTTTCTATTCCCTTGTTTTGATCTTACTACACTCCCTTCTGGAGTCCGAGTTCCCCTGGGGCTCTTTCTTACTCGTATTTGCTCACTTATCTCATTGCCAGACTCCCAGCTGAACAGCAAAATGGAGGACCACTAGCCCAGGCGGGAGAAGGCCTGTTTTGTATTTTAAAAATTCTGGTGCTGCCTCTTCTTAGCTGTCGATCACACTGTCTCAGAGGGTGTTCTACCAAATGCACAGTGCTGGACAGGGGCGGTCTACAGTCCCAGGGGCTGTCACTACTAAGCTCTGGTGTGTGATCCCTCTCCTCCACTTCCTCTGCAGGCCCTCACCCAGGCCAGACTTTCCTTCCCAGGCCCAGAGCCAGTCCACAAAGAGCAAGTCAGTGACGTCAGAGGAGTGGAGGGGGCCTTAGGTAGGGGAGGAGTGGCGCAGAGAGGAAAAGCTGGGGTTGGCAGGGAATTCTGCAGGCCCGCTGGCGCTGAGGTTTGGGAGGGACCAGTGGCCCCTCTTCCACACATTCCAGGCTCCAGGGGACCTGTGCTAGTGGATGAGGGATCTTGGTCCCAGGCAAGGTGTTGGTAAAGATCAAAGGGCAGTAGGGCAGAAGTGATGCTCTGTCACCAGCCACCTGTGTGACTCGGAGCCAGCCCAGCCTCCTCCCTGGGCCACGGTATTCTCATCCCCTAAAGCTTCGAATTAGATGCTTTTCCTCTAGCTCAGGCTTGTGCATAACTCAACGACACAAAGCAGGTAAACAAACATCATACATCAGGGCCCGGAGGAGCACTGCGGCAGGCGCGACGCAGCGCCCGTGAGCAGAGAACAATCGCGAACAGGACTGCGACACAAACAGCGAGACATCTGTCCCCGGTTTGGGCTCACGCAGGTCCGCCAGCAGCCTCCTCGGCCTCCCGCACCGTCCTCCCCCAGACCCAGGCCCATCCGTCGCTACCGGCCCTCCTCGGGCCTGCGGGCATTCGAAGAGGGCCACTCACCTGGTCGCCCTGCAACTTACAACCGGGCGGCTGGGGAGAGTGGGGTGGGAGGAAGCAGCGCTGGATGCAGAGGGCGCGCGCGGTGCGGGGGGGAAGGGTCTTCTCTGCCGGGAGCGCCGGGGCGAGGAGGGCAGAGCGCGGAGGAGATGGAGCGGGAGCAGAGGAGGGGTTCCCGAGCAGTCTCCTCCTCCCCACTTCCTCCAGGGCGGGATCGAGCCCGAGGGGCGGCGCCTGGCAGGGGACAGCTCTTCTTTGTGTCCCGGTCCTGTCAGCTGGACACTACGGCGGCGGCTCCCATTCGGGTGGCAGTGGGACCGGCCGTTTTATTCAAGACATAAACTTCTCTCACTATTCACTGATACGGAAAAGCTGAACAAACTATAGGACACATTCTATGGAATATTATTCAATTCTTATGAAGAGCTCAGATCTCCATTCAGTGGGAGGAATGTATTTGAAGTATTTCCAAGGGAAAAATAAAAACTGTAGAAATTGTTTAGTATGCTTTCATTTTTATAATAAAAACAGCCCTGTGCATATTTGTATTATGGTGGGAGAAGGGAAGGGTACATCTCTATGTGATAATACTGTTTAACCAGAGGAACTGGGAAAGGCAGCTTTTATATAGCACTACATTGTTTGCATTGTTATATGTTACTTTTGTAAATCAAAAATAATATATTTTAAACAACAGGTAGCTAAAATTTATTCTTCAGTGTACATTTCAAACCCTATTTCTTTCTTGTAAGTCCTGGTAATGATCCGTTGACAGATGTCCTCCCTTCTATAAATTGCAAGTTCCTACTTAGTGTGGTGACTTCACCAGGCTCAGGTGCTACTTCTAGCCTGTGAAGTCAGGGTAGTATAGTGGTTAGAAGCCTAGACTTTCACCAGATGGCCAGGATTCAGACCCCAGGGCTGCATTTTATGGGCTGAGTGACTTTGAGCAATTTACTTAATTCCTTTATGCCTCAGTGTTATCACCTGTAAAATGGGGAGGATGAAATGAGTACCTATATTACAGATTTATTGTAAGGTTTGAATTAGGTGAGTGGATTTGTAAATTTCTTCAATCACTATCTGGCAGATAGTAAGACTGTATGATTGTGAAGTAAAAAAAAATCTTCAGGTCATCCTAAGAATCAATATTTCATGTCTCAGGAAAATGCATATCTTTTTAATCCTGACAAAGGTTTTGGTTCCAATTGAAGTCATATTCCCTTTCCCCATCTCCCTTCAACCTCTTTTCCCCAAATTGACTCATATAAACAATAATCAACAGGGGAATGTGGGTAGGTGAGCTCAGTGGCAGGGTTTACACAGAGAAAATACCAGAAAGAGAAATCAAGAGAACCCGAATTCAGGATCCTGGTCTGTGCAGGACCACATGATTGACAGTGAGCAGGTCCTTGATATTCTCCAGGGCTGAGGGTTCTCAGATAAACAAGGTGGGCTGGCCACTTGCTTGCTAAGTCCCTTTCAGGTCTGAACTGCTATGACTAGTAGCACCAAAAGGTAGAACCCCAAAATACTGAGTTTTAGAAAAAAATAAAAATAAAAAACGCGTATATACATGGGAAGGATAGCACCTTACTTACCTCTGAGGAAGGGGACATGAGATTTGGTGGGGGAAAAAGATCTTACTTGTCAGGTTTTGTTTCTCAGAAAGGAACACACACACACACACACACACACACACACACAGCTGAAGCAAATGTCAGCCTCTGATACAGGGATATATCAGACTCCTGATAGTTAGGGTCCTGTAGAATACAGCACGCAATAATTAAGAACCATCGCAGTAGAAAAACGCAGAAACTGACACGGAGAAAACGCAGGTAATCTTTGGAAAACATCTGCTTCCTTAGGCCCCAGCGGTCTCAGGCCCCAAACCCGACCACCTCCGCGTCCATCAGGCACCCCTTCCCCAGTGCTCCCCTGGCCCCGGCCCGACCCTCCCTCTCCCACCCTGGACCACTGGACTCGGTCGGTGCGCCCGGGCCTGCTCCGGTTCCAGAAACCATTACTGAACAAGACTCACCGGTTATCCAGAAATTTCCACACCGGCTACTTAGGAGGGGGAAGGGACTCCTCTGCAGAGATGTGACGAGGAGAGGGGACAGACAGCCTGGGGATTAGAATATTGGTGGCGGCGGCGTTGGGAGCCTGGTCGGGGAGGTGGTCTGTGGTGCAGAGTGGGGCGAGGAGGGGGCCTTCCTGGGAGCTGATTGGCAGCCCTGGCGGTGGGGGCGGAGCCTGGTCGCCCCCACCTCTCCCGACTGCAGTGGCCCCGCTTTGTGTCAGTTTCTGCATCAAGATGCAGCCTCAAATCTAGGATGGAGACACTGGCGCCTGCACCAGGAGTGTGGGAGGGTAAATCGTTGAAAAATAAACCCGTGAGACTATTTACTAACAAGGGAGTGGGTAATAAATCATGATAAATCTTTATATAAAACAATGCACAGCTATTTGCAAGGATGAGTCATATCTCTATATATTTGCCAGATGTTGGGCTATATTTATACTCATTTTAAATAAATATTTAACGTGTTAATAAAATGAAGAGTTTGCATTTGTGTACAAAAACTCTAAAAATATTTTATATACATATATAAATATAGAAATTATATGAAAACCCTACATCAAACTATTAGAATCAGTATGTCAGACAGGAAAGAGTAGCTTACTTATAAGTATTTTTCTTCATATACCTCATTAAAGTTTTAGTATTAGTATGTATTATTTTGTGAGAAAAGTAGATAAATTTAATCAACTAAAAATAGGTAAAATATTCTTGCTCACACAGCTGGTAGTGTCCACTCCATAAATATGATTTCTCTCTTTGTGTGGGCTTCTTGAACTTTGTTCCTAGTCCTGACTCATTTTAATCAAGTAAGAGTGGAACCCAGCACTTGACTTGTGAGCCAGGACCAGGCTTTATGCCTGAGCAGGTCCTGCCTTGAACCAGTGTCTCCTCATCTAGCTTTGTGAGCTCAAGTTTAGATCCTGGGGGAAAACCATTTGTCCCTTTCTATGGTTGGCCCCAAAGCCCTGAAAGATTTGTGTGGTCTCTGGACATTCTCCTGTTTCCTCACCCCTCACCAATCATCTCTCTGGCCTCTGTTCTCAGAGTTCCTAATTGACCCTATGAAGAGATCATTAAAAAGCTTTCTCCCGACCACAAAACAGTGTCTAGGCTGGACCTTGCATGGGAATGTGGATTCAGTGGTAAAGGGGATAGAGAACCACATCCTATAATTACTTGAGGATTTCATTACAATCCTCAAACTAGAGTAAGCATAAGCCAAGAACTGTGTTTTTTCCTTCTTTTGATTCTCCACTTCATGTAGCCATGAACAGGTGCTTTGTAATGTCCTCTTGATGGATTGATGGTCAAAATAGATGGATGTGCTGAGGAAGGTAATCCTAGGATCACTCCTCAAAAAACAAATAAACAAACAAAAAACAGCCTGGATGGTGTGGCTCAGTGGTTGAGCGTTGACCTATGAACCAGGAGGTCATGGTTCCACTCCCAGTTAGGGCACATGCCCAGGATGCAGGTTCGATTCCCAGGAGGGGGCGAGCAGAAGGTAGCCGATCAATGATTCTCTCTCGTCATTGATGTTTCTATGTTTCTCCCTTTCCTTCTCCCTTCTCTGAAATCAATAAAAATATATCTAAAAAAAGAAAAAAACATACAGCAACTTGATGTAGGAAACTTATTAAATTACAAATTTCCTGTATTGAAAGTTTTTTCCTCTTCTTTGTGCTCCTTTAATTTTCTCCCTTAAACCTTTTCTTTCTATATCTCCGTAAATTTCAGTGGGTTCTTTCCTCTCTTTCTCTGTTTCAGACTTAACATTAGTAACTCAATTTTAAATCCTCTCTCACTCCCTATTTATAATTCCTCTAGAGTTTCTGTTTTTCTTTCCAGTTTCTGCCCGGAGTAATAGAGACTACCATGAAATCTTTAAAGTACTGAAATGACTTTTAAAATATTAAGTTGTGTAAATACTCAGCAACATAGGAATGAATGAACACTTTATTAAAAATCATACTACAAAATATTATGTGGTTCTTGAAAAGGATGAGCTTGAGGAATGCTTTCAATCTATATTTTCAGTGAAAAACTATGATTGTATTTGTTTAATTGATTTTTTTTGAGAGAGAGAGAGGGAGAGGAAGAGAGAAAAATGGATGTGAGAGTGAAACATCAATCCACTCCCTTTACTGGGGATCGAGCCTGCTACCCCTGGCACATGCCCTAATGGGGAATCAAACTGGCAACCTTTTGGTACATGGGACAGTGCCCAACTGAGCCACACAATCCAGGGCTGATTCTGTTTTTTTTTTTGTTTGTTTATGTCTACCTAACAGGAAAAATAAGGACATATTTAGTGACTTCAGGAAGTGGGGAAGGTAGACCAGTAATTTTTTTCTTTAGACATTTCATATTTTAAAAATGTTACAAAAATCATTTTGAAAAACAAACAAACATGGCTATTCACTCTTATTTATATACCCAATAGAATTTATATATACACATGCCACCAAAAGACATGTTCAAAGCAGCACCAGCCATATAGTCTAATACCAGAAGCTACCCAAGTGCTACCCTTCCTACTTTCTCACTGATAGGGCACCCTGGCACTGTCTTCTATCGTAAGATTCTTAAAATTTTATTTTCAGACCAACAAATACTGAAGTGTTATTATAAAAGGTCTGCTTTGAAGAAATTCTAAAGGATGTAGCTCAAGAAGAAATAAAATAATCTTTGATAATCTGAGATGTCAGCTAAAACAGTGAGAGACTTCCAATGCTGGCACTGAGAGAATACCTTGTTTGGAAAAACCCTCCTGCTGAAAATAGCAATAAAAGTTGAATAAAATATAGGAAACAATGGAAGATTCTGAAGAGCCAACAAAACAAGTAGGATTTGAAAAGTTCTGATCTTGAGGGAAGGAAAATAAGACATGAGCTCCACATTCACTATGGCTTTTTCCTTTTGGGCATTTTCCAGTTCACAGTGCAGGGTAACTGAGGCCAAGTGGAAAGTGTCAGTCTGACTGGCTTCAGATTACCAAACCACTGGAACTCAAAGCACAAAACTTTACAGAAGAAGAAATCTCAGAGAGGTGAATCTAAAAATCTATGTA